CACTGTAAGATTTACACAATATTACGTCGGCATCGTAAGATTTATGCAAGTTTACGCTAAATTAATTTCCTGATGAACAAACATCTCTCATTATCTAAATAAATGACCTTGTCACGATATTTCCCCCATATATCATAAAACTTAGAACGAAGCTCGTCTATGTCATTTATTTCCTATTTTTATTACAAAAGATATTAGATTATTATATTATCATAAATCTGCACACACCAGACAACGTGACACTATACCCTTTCATATTCATCCATAATTTCTCCAAAGAAACTGGGTGGGACTGGTTGTTTTGGTTAACATACTGAAGCACGCCATTTTCGTTCATCTATATCTAAATACAATGGCTTCTTCATTCTTGTCATGTCAATAAACATAATATGGTGAAGAGACCTGTAATACAAAGATTTTATTAGACAGCCAGATATCCTGGCCTTAATTATAAATGTAAAGTCAACCTATACTTACAAGATTGCCTCAACATCTGATGAAAAATGGAAGGCTTCACCACCTTCTAGTTTATCAATATTATTAATTTGATATTTGTGAAATGCATCTGAAACACTATAACTTTCAATAAACCACTAAAACGAGTAAAACAGATGTAATGGTCAGTGCAAAAAATCTTTTTCTGAAACAGATGCAGATCCAGTGAAAACAGAACGATAAACTTACATCCTTCTGTGAGGAAAGATCACAGAGATCCTGATGTATCTTTATATATGCGTCACGCATCATTTGTTTATTAAATTCCAGATCAGGTTTGATAAGTGATAATTCAGGATTGTTCTCGTTGGTTAACTGCCCTGCAATTACTTCCTTTTCATGAATGATCACTTCTTCCAAATTCGTTATGTTCACATCATTAAGAGACTCTGGATCCTTTATGTTGATCGTATCTTTCTTTTTTCTACTTTCTGATGGATAGGAATCTGATTTTTGTTTCAAAGCTATTGTTCATGTCATAAAGAAAGGTAAATAATACATAATTCAACATATAATGTAGATGAGTTTGAATGTACAGTATTACCAGATTTTATAGTTTCACGTGTAGTGTTAGAAGCGCTTCACTGAAATCATAATGTATGTCTAGCATTTGGTGGATTATATTTTTGGAATTCATATCTGATGCTTTTCCTAATGTTTTCATAACAGTAGAACTATTTTTCCAGAAAGCTTTTACGTTGAACAATTTTGATTCTTTCTAAAGTATAAAAAAAAATGAAAAATTGATTGCTGTGATACTTTCAGACGCATCTGAAGTAAAAGTACACCCGAACACAGAGACGCATCTCTGAGAGGACTCATCCCCAGGAATTAAGACTCATCCTAGTACTTTCAGCATTAATAATGGAGCTATAACAAGACACTTCTCTAGACGCATCCAGAGAATCTCAGACGCATCCCAGTCGTTGCTATAGTCCCGGAATAAAACAAATATAAACAAAAAAATTAAGAAAATTTTCAAACCTCAAATGTTTCCAAACATTGCAATGCCAACTGTCTTATTATTATGGATTCATTGCTGTCATTAGTCTCTATTAATTGAGGATTGATAGAAAGTTTCTCCAAACAAATCTTGTATAACAAATGCTCATCTTGTTTTTCATTGAAATCATTTGCATATACAATACTCCACTGTAGAAATTCTAACAGGTTCCATGATTTGTTCTCTTGAAAGTAAATAAGCCTACATTTCCAACGAGTATTTTCATAGTTAGTCATTGTTTAGTGAAAAACTAAATTTTGGACTTGTAAATTATTCTCTGCAGCATAGTTAAAAATCTTGTGATTGGTTGATCAATATTTTTGTTTCACGTAATTGATAATCCAATAAAAATTAGCCAAATATTTTTAAAATTTTGTTATTTATAAATTTATTAATTCATTAATTTATTAATTTATTTATTTATTAATTTATTAATTTATTAATTTATTAATTATTTTTTCGAATCAAATTAAATTAAAGTTGAACTATATTATGAATTGGAAGTCTGTGAATGTTTGTGAGGTCATAAAATATTTGCTTATTCTCTGCAAAGGCTTTTAGTAGGTGTATAAATAATAAATTAGATCAATTTTATTACATATAATTATAAATTTTTGAAATATATATACCTAATATCCTTTTTTTGCAATTGATTATCAATTCCAGGTAGAGATATAATATGGGGCATACTGCAACAAAACCAGACAAAGTGAACATTGGTATTAATTACCAAGGATTTCGGGGAATAAAATTTAGTAAATTTAGTTATTATTTATTAACTTTTAATTATATTTTTAATATAGTATTATTTTTAAATATATACATGCATGTCAATTTAAAATTAAATGTTCTCATATTAAATTCGTTATCAATAAAAATCATTGTTATCTATTTGCACAAGTTTACTTCTACACATTCTTTTTCGTGGTGTCATAGGGCAGTCAGGAATGATGATAGTTGAATTCTTATGTTTATAGCCACCAGCTTCCTGTAAATACTCCAAGGCGTCATCATCATTCATTTCTTCAACAATGTTGATTGTTTTACAGATAATCATCTATTGAGAACAGCTATATATTAGACCATATCCTATTTGATAAGATAATGTCAATACTAACCTTCGCTTTCCAAGTCAAAACAATACACTTAAGGGCTTGTTCAAAACATTTAACATCAGTTGGTATCTGCAAAGTATCTGATCTAGTTATCCTACAAAGATAGCCAGCAGGGGCATCCATACGTAATAGCATCATAAAAAGTCCTGCATGATAGTATAGTTAATATTTTATGGCAAAATTTGCAAGTTAAAAAGAAAAAAAAAAAAAAAAAAATAATACCTACCAGAATGAATGAAGCTAACTAATTCCAATTGGCGTAACTTATTTCTTTCCCATTTCACAAAATTACCCAAGTCCACAAACATATCCTTAAGCATTTTTGGACTTTTTAACCCCCTTTCTTTGAGTAATTTTGTCCCGTTTTCTCCCTCATAATCCTTCCCCACCTCAGAGGCACCGTATTCATATACTCCCTTCCTTAGAATTAGATCACCCCTTCTTCCAAGTGCTTTTCGTGTTGTTTCAAGTAATCCTTTAACTATTCTTTTCTTATTTTTTCGTTTAGACGATGCAATACTGCATGATTCGCCTCTGGAAACATCCATACCTTTTAATTCGTTAAAGGATTTATCTATTAAAGACCAAACGTGAATATTATACCACGCTTCCAGATGTTTTTTCTGTAATGTATCGAATTCGTATTCTAACAATAAATTATGAACACTATTTTTTATCCAATCAAAATTAAAGTGTTTGGTTTTGTCAAAGTTTTCACCTTCCCAATCTTGTTGTGTATTAAGTACTATCCGTAAATCTTTTGTTGTTTTCTTGCGAAAAGAGCTAATATATTCTAGTAAGTCAATTGGCACCTGTGGCAAGTCTTTTGCTTCCGTATTACGAATTTCTCCAAGTTCTTCAGAGGTAAATACTTTATTTTGAATATAGGTTTTGTCATCAGGGTCGATAATAAACGAGTGCGCTAAGCTGGAAATAAAAATTAATGCAGTTAAATCACATCATGTAAAGTCTACAATTTTATTATAATCAAATGAATATGATTTTACATACTGTTCAAATCGGCATTTCATTCCAAATGCATAAAGTTCATCTTCAACACATCTTCCTGATCTCAGAAACCACTTTTTATCATTATCCATTTTTTGAAATGTATTTTTAAACTCTATCATGTTTGATTCATCCATCTCTTTAAGCAAATCTTCTTCGGAACCATTCTGAGTTAATTAATTGAATATTACATAATATTAATATATCATTGAACACTAAATATCAATTTGTTGAAAAAACACCTTTTCATTGCCTTCGATTTCTTCAGCGTTTTCTTTACTTTCATCTTTGTTATTCAAACTAAATCATTAAAATCTATAAATAACTAGAGTGACGACGAGTGGCGGACGATAACCACCACCACCATCCTTAAAACACTTACCCTTCATTCTTTTCAAAATCTTCTTTGCTTTTTTTGTTTCTTTTGTTGTCGTCGTTCTTGTTGTTGCGTGGCATGTTTTAAAAAATATATAAAAGTTTTGTTATGATCGACGCGTACACATTAATTATTTATGCTATTGGTTTTTTTTTTGGTAGGACAGACGCGAATTGATTTTTTTTTTTTTTTTTTGGAAAAACAAAAAACAATTTATTTTTTGACAGAGTCCAAGGTGACGAAACATGAGTGTTGTTTGGTTTATGGTTTGGTTTAGGCCTCCTAAAGAAAACATGTTAATAACTAACCAGAGGTACTTTTTTTTACTTGTATTGATATTTTTATTTTGGTTTATAAACATTTTAATTGGAATCAAAACGCTGTGCAGATCTTGCTGGGTAATTACAAGATTTTCATTGATAATATTTGGCTTTTCGTAATCAATAATATTAATATTATTATATTATTATAATTACAAGATGTCAAGGCAGCACACGGTTGAATATGAAACATTTCAAATATGAAACATTTTGATATGCAATGTTTGATTATCGGAAATTGGCAAGTGTTGAAGCTTTATTTTTTTTATTAAATGATTCTTCGATTTGTTTTCGTTTTGATAAATTAGTTTCATTAAATTTTAAAACTCTGGGTTCTGGAACCCATTCATCCCAGCTATTTTTTATTTTTTATTATGTTATTTGGATTTTTTTTTTGTGCAAAAATTTAAAAATTTAAAAAATTTTCTTACGTGTGCTTCCAACCTTTATAATGTATTAAATAATGTGGTCCGGAAACATCTGATTTTGGGTGTTTTTGATCCAAATAATCTACATCTAGCACCTTATTATTTTTTTATTTTTATTTTAATTAGAGAGGAATAATTAACAAAAAATTATTATAAACAGTATATAACATAAATACTTTAGCTTCATAAATCATTGGTCCATGATAACAAAGAATTCGTTCGCCTTTTTGATACAAAAATTGTTG